AAAAAACATTATATAAGAAAGATGTAAAAAGAAATAAATGATAAAGAAATAATCAGTAAAAGGGGTTGAAAAATAAACCTGCAATACTTTTCACTTTACTTGACTTATACCTCTGCTAGGGTGTTTTTCTTTGTCTGTCCTGTGTTGTTTTGCACTGCTGTTGTAACATTTAAATTTCCCCATTGGGATGATCAATAAACTAATCTTATTTAACCTGATCTACAAGAAGATCATAAATACCCAACTTGAAGTGTTTCAGTTAAAATTATACACGCTTTTTCTGTATGAAAAATCATATGATGTATTTAATGCAGTTGTCATGGTGGTACTTACATAACTGAAGACTTCTGATGAAAAAGCAACAAAACGCTGCACCCAACAGACTCTTGGCCTTTATTATTGATGTTACATCCTGTTACACGCCTTTTTACTCAGACACTAAATTCATGTTATGTCCATGGCTATATTTCCAATTTCTTTGAGGATACTCAAACACACACACACACACACATACACGGATATTATCATATCTCAGTGGAATCTGCATGAACTGGGAGCTGGCCTGATCACGTCAGAGGGTACCGGCCAATAAGACTCAGTTTTCTCCAGACTTTTCTACTGTACAGGGCGCAGCCCAGCCCAAGAAGATACATGTCCACCACACCTGGAAATCTGGGCTATTTTCTGATAGAGATCCTCAGGGAGCTTTGTCAGTTCGAGCCCAGACTGAATAAATTACACATTTGTACTCTGATAATTTCTTTGCTGTATTATCATGCTTCCAACAAAAGAATCAGGCTTACACTACTCCGCCGAAGATTAATACCGAATTGAGTAAATCACATAAAATGATTGTGACTACATTGAGCTGGCCTTGTCCTGTAATGCCTGGCAGTGCCACCAGGTGGCGCATTAGGCGGAGTGATACATTGAGTTTGACTCTTCCCGGTCTAGTCCTGGTCTCTTTGACTCTAAACCCATCTGCTACAATGAACAGGCCAAAAAAAAGAAAAGTACACAGTGGGACCCAGTATTAAAAAATGTTTAATACTTCACTGAAGTCCAACCAAACGCCGCCGACTTCTTATCTGCCAAGACACTGTTGCGGTTTTAAAGGAATGAAATGTCCGGCGTCACTTTCCCACCAAGCATGCTAATTAAGCTACCAACCAGTTGACCAGCCAGGTCAGCAAAACACCTTCATCCGACTCACCGCCATCCGAGAATCAAGTGCAAAGGCAAGTAATTTGTTGGCATTCTAATTAGCAAAGAGAAGTAGCATTTTTGTGAAGGGTTTTTTTTCAAAGAGTTTCGTTTAGAGACGTCGGGTTTTTGTTTTTAGAAACAAGAAAATATGAGAAAAAAACAGCTGGAGATTGACTAGCTACGTTGAGCTAATTG